AACAAAGCAACATAAGATCCACAAGAAAAATCGTTACTTTCTCAGCGTTTGTAGTAAAATTTATAACAGCTTCGAACGCCGGTCGCACTTGACAATTAAAAACGCAAATTTTTTGCCATTGTCTTAATTTAAATAAATTAAATTTTATGACACTTGCAGTTGCAAGTGCGGCTGCAGTTGCGGCTTTAATTGGCTTCATGTTGGCCGACACGAGATGAGAACGATTCCCCCGCTGCAAATAAGTAATTAAGTGGCTTTCTGTGAGAGAATCCCCTGATCGGACTCGGTTGACAGGCAAAACACCCACAAATGGCGATTTGCATGGAGTTCGCAGTACAGGGAAATACAATTAACATCGGGTTTAATGTGCATTTAATGAGAAATAAAAATGCTATCCGTTGCGATTGCGTGTGAGTTCTTCTTCTGAGCTCTTCATTATTGTAAGATTGTACAAAGATTGTAGATTTTAGAACGATTTTATGTCTTTGTACATTTGTACGCGATTCCGCGCACAGCAAATGATATTTACTAATTAGTTATATGTATTATAATTTTCCATCTGGCCACTGACCATGGCCAAACGTTCCTTTCTTTGTTTGTGTCTCTGTTGATTATCGCAATCATAAAATGTATATTTTCTCGCTTTGATGATGTTTCCTATTAACGCGATCCGCTGGGCCCCAGGGGATTGGCTTTTATATTGTTACTTAATAAGACTTTGATAGTTCTTGGCATAATGCAGCATTGCGATTTGAACAGTGTTTAATAATAACAGGATGGTGAGGTAATAAAAATTGCTGTGGGTAATCGATTTGTAAAAGAAATAAAGAAATCTTAGTCGTCATATGTAAAATAGGTTAAGCATATTTATAGCTTTGATTATTTTGCAATAAATTCCCGGTAAAACCAAGTTCATTTAAGTAAGTGTTCGACCTGAGAGTTCACAGTACTTCTTAATGATGGACACCCTTAACCCAAAGTGAACAGAAAAACTCGTTTTCTTGGCCACTCGAACCACTGTTCACTTATGAGGAATTACCTCGAGGAGGCATGAAGAACCAGCTGAATTATATTTGTGCAACCTGTAATGAAGTAGGTGTTGTGGGTCCGTCAGTCGATATTAACATACCCAGCCAAGAGAGTCGAATGGGAGTTGGATCTCCGTTGGTTCTTGGTTCCTCACCGGATCCCCAATCCCGACTCCCGGCTTCCCTGGGCAATCACAAGCTGGCCATCAGAGACATTCTATGGCCACGAGCTTTAATGAGTCTCGAGCCGCAAATTAAATTCAAAAATAATATGCACCGGCGTATGGGTTGCTCACCCCTCCCCCTTTCCGCCCACTTTGCCGCCCACTCTGGGCGGTGAAGTTGCATGATCGCATGCAAAGTGCCGGGAAGTTAACCATTTGCCCCCGGAAGAGGAGAAGGGGGCGGTGGGAGGGAGGGAGCGGCGCCACTTTTGCGCTTCGCAACCCACAGACACTTCGTTATAAAACAATTTAATTTCCAAAGGAACAAACAAAGAAAAACATATGAAAAAAAAAGAAAAATACCGCGCAAACTGAAATAGAGTTGCGCAAAAAGGCGAGCAAAATATTTACAAAACTAATTTTTAATTAATGACCAACAGGAACGGGAAGCGGTTAACTTGCATGCTCGACCTTTTCATATAATTTACAAATTTGCTCCCTTTTGCATTGGCCAAATGCTAATTAGGCTTCTTTGTTTCTGTTCTTTTTTTGCTTTTTGTCGAAGGCAAATTAAAGTTGCATAATTTGCTTTTGGCGAACACCTGCTCGCGGTTATCGAGTTCTGAGTTTTGGCATTCGATTGTGGTCTGCACTTGCATTCATTAAGTACACGCAAATGTTGCAATTTCAAGTTCTTTGTATGGTTTTGAGGTCAGTATAGGAAGTTATTGGGCTGGCTATTGATTTGATGGGTGTGGGATGGTAATTACAATGCGTTTATGAGTCAGAATTTTAGTTATTGAAGCTGAACGGAACTTTTGCACTTCATTTATTTATTTAATTATTTAAAAAAAAAAATCTTGATTAGTCTGATATTAACGTAGCCTTATAACAATGTATCTGAACCGCAGGTCTCGCATTTTGAAAGAATAACTTAATTTGAAATAAAGAACTATATTTTTGCAAAGCTGGCAAATGTTTTATATTTGAAAAAATGTTTGATGACAACGTTCGAAATTTTTTGATCGTGAATAAATTTTAGAATATAAGAATTTGTATCTAAAATATGAACCTTCTAAAGATTATATTAACCCAAAATTTTATTAACCCAAAATATTTAACTACTCTTTGTTGATGTTTTACAATTATTTATACATAAATACCATCTCCACACATATCTATACTCCTCAAGCATTGCAAGTTAGTTTATTATAAAATAAAGTTCACTTAGCATCTGCATTTTTAAACAATTTTATCTGTAATTCATTTTGAAAAACAAATGGTTAATTTAGTAATGGTAATAAAAGCAATCCAAAAACGCACTGTGATTTACTACAGCCTGCCGCAGCTTTCTGCATATATTGAACTCGAAATGAATCATATTTATTTGTAATTGTCTACCTGTTAAGTGGCTTTCCCCACCTTCCCCCCACAAAATCCCGGTATTGGATATCGAAGGCCATCTTTGAAAAAACAGGGCGTAAATATACATATATGCAGCAATGAAATAAAATGTCTAACTAAAAGTATGTGGCAGAGGCAAGTTGCACAATGCATATTCATGGGCACCCCGTTTGTCCCCCTTTTCATTTTCCATTTTCCGGGCTGGAAATGCCAACTGTGTGCTGAACTGATAAATTAAGCAATTCCAACTAAAATGCAATGCATTGCAAATTTTACTTTTTTATTTTTTTGTATTCGCTGCTCGCGACTAGAAAGTTGAAGAGCAAATGAAAAGGAGGCAGATGAAATTTATACCTCATTCAGGTTAGTTTTGATGTATTTAATGCCACTGCATGACAAGAAAATGGTCCCGTGAAAAGAGGAGCAGGTGTTAAGCTCGTCATATCGGTGATTTAAAGAGAGGAAAGGCGGAGTCGTTCCTCGACGACCCATCACCTTAAAGCTATAATTCCCCACCAACTCGGGTCGGTAATTAAATGTGCTTTAATTTGTATAATTCAGTTGATTTAAGCATGTAGAACTTAGGCACCGAATGAATATTCAAAATTTTCGCGGGGGCTTAGAAAGTTGCCTGGGAAATGCCGATTGGGGGTCTCCAACTCGAACTTGGCTTTAAAAAAACCCTCGGGGGGCCAAAAAGATTTATAGCAATCCATTTACAATGTTGGTAGTAAGAGCTAATGGGGTTTACGAGCTCCATTTTCCTTGTATGCAAATTTAACCCCTTCTAGCCGTTTTCGCTTTGAAGGAAATGGCGGGACTGAGTCGCGGAATTCCTGTGAAATCGTCGTCGCTTGTCTCGTAATTACCCACAATTTTCCATGAATTTATTAAAATTAAGGGCAGAGCAGACAAAAGCCCGGCTTAAGTGCCCAGGGCCAACATCTCGTAGTAAGCAAACCCATACCCATACCATACCATCCCATACCAACCCATCCCATCTGATCCCACCCCATTGAAGGCCCAACAGCGGAGCTACCCATTCCATTCGATTCCATCTGACTACAAACAAACAGACCATAAATAGTATAAATTTCCACATGACACGCGATGATTATGCGCTTTCCATGCAAACAAGTGTCTGCGGAAGAGCGGTACGGCGGTACGGGCACGGCTTCCAGTTCCAGTGCCAGTTCCAGTTTTGGTTCCAGGGGGTCGATGGGAGGGCATCTGCATCTGCTCTCAACATCATTTGCGTACATGTCGAGCTTCTGCCCTGCTAATGAGTACAGTGGGTCCTAACATATAAAGAACGTGGTTGCAACAAGATAACAGTATGTTTTATTGCAATTAAGAATTAAAAAGAACCAATACCACATTGAGCCTTAAATCAATCTTTTAAATATCTTTGGTAACACTAGAGATACCTTCATGATTATTTATATAGAACTATTACCTGTCTTTAGTTAACCTAAGTCGGTTTCACATGAAAAATCCTAACCAAATTTGTATCTCAATATATAATAGTAATGCTATTTTAAAGGTTTTTAAATCTTGAGTTGCTTTTATTTGTTCTAACTTTTTTAGGTATCGAATAATAGTAAATAAACTCACTACTCATATTATATTATATTATATTACATTATATTATTATTACTAATAATGTATATATATTATTATTATTCCACAAAATAAATGGATTTTTTCTGGATGGATCTTTTTATTTAGTGCATTTTCCCTGTGCTTTCGACTTGCCAACTCACAGAGGCAGTAAACAATTTTTAATTGCTCAAAGCTGGAGCGACAATGACAGCAAACGACGCTCCTCCGCCTTCACCAAATCGCAGTGAGTTCATTTTGTTTTGTCGGCTTCCCATTGATAGTGTGGCTACGCTATACTATATATCTAAAGTGACCCAGGTTCGCCCCCCAGAATGTCGAGCCGCAGTTAATGGGGCCTCATCTGCATGCTGATATCTTGGTCATGAGATCGAATCGGTCCAGTTGTTTTACCCGTACCCGTACTGCGGGTGTCTGGTTCTTATTAGCTCTGCACGCGCTTCCCGCTCACTTGAATTCCGTGAATTAATTTCAGTTTTGCATGTTGTTATTTATTAAAATTTCAGATCGCCTTTCAGACGTTTTGCGATTCTTCGTGACGCCCTTTCATATGCGCCGCTGAGCTAATTTCTGAAACAAATTCCATTCCTTGCGATTGATATCTTTGAGATATACTTTCTGTATATGCTGGAAACGTATAAACTGCAATATCATATCTCTCCCCCAAATAAAAGTGTTTCTTTGTTATTTCGTTTGATAATTATTTTTATTTCATTTTGTTGTGTGAGTTTTTTGTTCCTCTTTTTGTAGTTATACATTTAAAAATTCTAGTGTTTTTTCACGCTTTACAATTGTAAATGTTTTTGTGTTTTCATAAATTCAATTGGTTTTTACACATAAATACGATGGATTTAGATTTAAATTAATGTTTTGTTTTATTTGTGTTAGTTTACTTGCCCATAACATACAAAGTACACCTAGTTTATGTTTATTTTGTTTTTCTTTGTTTTCTTTTCCTTTTAATTAAAATTAAAATCATTCAAATTGATTATCACAGTATTCACGCGAAAAATAAATATGCTTAAAAGGTAATTTACTTGTTTTACGTGGAAAGTGTTTAACTTTATAATTATTCGCTAGGAATTCATTATGATGACTTTGAAAATGTGCAGAGACTTTACTTAAATATTAGTAATACACAAACGCCACAGAGAACCTTAAGGAAATGAAATTAATTTGCTGGTCGAAGCAAAAAAATTCCATTTGATTTTGGCTTGCAAAATGTTGGTGGTCAAGTAAACTTTGTAGATTGTAAACTTGATCAGCAATATTTTGTATTGACTTTCAATACAATTATATTAAAATAAATACCATTAATAGTTAACATAAGCAAACCCCGATTTGTGCAGGAGTTGATACCTATCCGTAGTACAGAATTATGCTAGTATTTGATGTGTTTGCGACTTTGAACCTGCAAGATAATAAGCAAAGGTAGAGATAACGTTAGTAAATTTGTGGTAAAAATTTGTTATGTTAATAGAAATCTATAAATTTAAAAATAATAATGTATATTATATTTTGGGCAGTAATTTTTTATTATAAATCTTGACAATATTTTGCGAGTTTGAAAGTCGCAAGAAATAAAGGTACTCTTGTTGAACAAATTATTAAAATTATTATTAATTGTTAATTATTATAAAATTATTCTTTGAGTGATGGTAGATAATGTAAAAATCTCATATAGTTACTTTTTTTATAATAGAGAAATACACACCTGCTCATAGTGTTGCTAAGCTTCCTTTGATTTCTCCGGCACATTGCACTGTCTTTGTCCCTAACTGTGACCCTCGAATGGTCCTTTGACCCCCTAGTGCATCATGTAGGAGGACTCCTCGTCGTCGGCACCCGTGGGACTGTCCAACGAGGGATTGATGCGCTTCTCCTTCTGCCGGCGGTTGCAGAACCACACGCGCACCACCTCCTTCTCCATGCCGAGGCGGTCGGCCAGCTGGGTGATCTCCTCGGAGGTGGGTTTCTGGTTGGCCAGGAAGGCCTTCTCCAGAGCTCCGCGAATCGTGGTCTCAATCGAAGTGCGCTTCTTGCGACGGCGGCCGATGATCTCCGGAGTGCTCACTGTAGCCTGCAGGGCGGCAGGATCAAAGACGCCACCTGTTGCCTGAATTGTGCGATCGGCGTCATCCAACCACTTTTGCAGCAGTGGCTTCAGCTTGCACATGTTCTTGAAGCTCAGATTCAGAGCTTCAAATCTCGAAATGGTGGTTTGCGAGAAGTCATTTCCATATAGTTTACCCATGGCTAAGCCCACATCTCCTTGGGTGAATCCCAGTTTGATCCTGCGCTGCTTGAAGGTCTTGGCGAACTGCTCCAGTTCCTCCAAGTCGGTGGTTTCCTCCGGCGAGGGTTCACCCGCTGCCCGAGCAGCTGCAGCACTGGCCACCGTTTTGGGTTGTGGGGTGGTGGTTCCCGGGTTCATCTGCGTGCCACTCGTTGGCGTACTTGGAGTTAGCATGCCACTCAACTTCAGACTAGCCGCCGAACTGGGTGGAGTTATTTGCAGAGGGTGGTGGTGGTGCAACTGCTGGGGGGAACTGGCAGGACTGCGGATGGTAATGGGACTCCTAATCGAGTGGGGAGTGGAGCTGCGTGGCTGCTGTTGCGCCATCTTGTGGTTCAACTGCAGTGGTTCGTCCTGTTGCCTTTGTTGTTGCTTCTGCAACGCTTGCAACTGCTGGGTGGCTTGACTCAATGCTTGAAGTTGACTCTGCATCAGGAACTGGGCAGTTGCCACCTGGGTGGTCAGTGCAGGATCATCCTGTGCCAAACCCAAGGATCCACTCCTCAGCAACTCCATGTAGCTGTTGAACTGCTGCGTTAATGCAACCTGTCGTTGTTGCAACAACTGCTGGAACTGGGCAAAATCCTGTGGGGAAAGGGATCCCGTGAGCAGGGGATTACTCATTCCCAAACCAGCTGCCGCAAGTTGAGCCTGTGGCGAGGACATTCCCGGAATGGCCAGCAGTGGGGAGATGCCACTTCCCATCGAAGAAGCCATTGCTGCGGCAGCTGCAGCCGCTGCAGCCATCGAATTCGGAGTGGTGGCACCGCCCGTGGGCGGTAAAACCGGGGAGATCATTGGAGCCACCGGCGAGGGAACCGAAATCACGGGAACTGGCGAGGCAATCGCAGATTTAACCGAGTTTGCCGGGGATTGAGTGCTGTGGCGACTGTTGTCGCTGGTCAAGTTCAGAGCACCGCCATTGGCGTCCTCGTAGTCCTCCTCCTGTTTGTACTGATGGTGGTTCAGGTGGTTCAGGTGGTGCGCACTGTGGTGGTGGTGAGCCGGGTGCGGCTGCAGCGACATCAGCTGGCGCTTCGCCTGCTGGTGGGTCAAGGACAACGCAGGACTCAAAGGAGATCGGCAGCGGTCGCTGGAGGTGCCCACACTCGAATTATTGTCATCACAATCAGAAGCTGCAAAAAGGAGGAGAAGTTATGGTTAGGAAAATTAAATTTGGGAAAGCTTAATGGTGGAGTGAAAGAATGTAAATTTTATTTTTTTTTTTAAATGGTAAAAAAAAAACGCTTAATTGTAAATAAAGAGAATGGTTTCCATAATTATACATATTTAATTATGTCACATGAAGAATAGAAACCCCACATCATTTAGAAGGAACTAAGTCAATCAGAACATATTTAAAAACAAGTCCAAGTTCTGATTAGTTTCATTTACAAAATTCCATTCCTAAAAGCTATGATAAAATATTTTCTACATCATTTAAATTTAAATAAATATTTTGATCTTACGACCGCAGCCTTACTTTATTATTTACCCCATAAAAAATATTACCCGAAAAGAAAACCCACACAACTCTTTTCCAATCAATCTAAGAAAGAGGCGTAACCAACTGGCCAAATCCCATGGAGAATGAATTTGCCCATCCACCGAAGCTATGCAAAAATGAGTCATCCTGTTGTGGAAAGCCGGGAAAGTTCCTGACCATTTCCCCATTCGAATGTCCTTTTGCATAAATTTAGCATAGGCCACACGAGCGTTTTGTATAATTTTCGTTCAATTTCATAGTCCGTTGGTTTTCGGTTTCGAGTGAAAGCCTTTCACGTGACCACCCACCGCAGTGGGTTTATTATGCGAGAATGTCTATAGCTTTTCTTTTTTTTTCTTGTTCACCCCCTTCGGTTTTCTTTTTGGGTCCATAGTTTACATAGTTCCACCTTGACATCAAATGGAATTCTCGTGTTTTCTTTTCATTTTGGCTGACGCTTTTAGCCGCTTTTAAGTGGCATTTTAGCATTTCAAATGCCTGGCCGAGCGATTTGTATAAATTTGCTATTTGTATGCATTTTATTTATACAACATGGGCGCCGACGGGAGAGGGGAAAGGGGAGTTCTACCAATTGATTTGCAATAATATTTAAATACAGGACGAGTTCATTTTTGAGCTAAGACTGCGAACTAGATGGCCAGACTTCCTCCCTCGTAAATGGCAATCAAGGGAGTCAAACCCTTTGAAGTGGCCACTGGTTTGGGAATCCCGAACCCCTCACATATTCCCCCATTCCCCCGCAACCAATTTCCACATCCTGTCCACTGCAGGCAATTTTTGCATATGTTTGCCTGGGCTACTTTATGACTTGTGCTCGCCTCCTGATGCTCAACGCTGGATTCCCAATCCCCGATGCTACGTGAATTTGATGACTTATTCGCCCAAGTGGGCGACCCACCGGCCAACAGACAGACCAAACCAAACCGACCGGCCGACCACATGGTCATCCTTTTTACATATGCGACCGGGCCAGGAATGATTTTTCCTCGGACGGGCTACGTGCGTCCATTTGGTATTCAGATGATGTGCAAATTCGATTTGTATGTGTTGTGTGAATGGCCATCGGCAGGGGCGGAGATTATATGGTTTTTGAAAGGGGTTATAAGGAAACTAAGGTTATTTAAGGGGTCTTATTTGGGATGTATTAGGTATTTATTTCGTACTATCCAGATGTTGCTTTATAAAAATGACTACCTTAATCTTTATAAGGGGTCAAAAATAATTTTATATTTGTTATAGTAAAGAATGAACATTATAACAATAAGTAATATAATGTTATTTTGAAACCAGAGTACATTTTTCAAAAAGAAGCCTTTATAAAAATAGTTAAAATAAAAGATAAGAAAATGTAGAACTTATTTTCTTATAAAGATCCCTAACAATGAAACCCCTTTCGACCACGCTCCTGTTCCATTTAGCACAGCCAATAAAAAAAAGCCAAATGGTCAGTTTGACTGCACATTGAGCTACCCCAAAAGCGCTCCCACATACGGACGGCATAACGGAATAATTTTTGCATAAAATATATGTAAATATATATGTTCATGTTCGTGAAAGAAATCACAGCAACTGTGTCCAGTCCCACACACACACACTCGAACATACAACCTCCCTCACACATATTCGAATTCAAATCAAGCGAAATGCTGTCAATAATGTGGTAAAAAAAAAAAAATAAAAAATAAAAAAGGGGGCAAGAAAAGGTTGAAGTTGGTTTTTTGTTCGGACCGTGACTAACGAAGTCCATGAAATTTGAAAAGTGTGAATTGCAAATTGAACGCAGCCTCCTTGCAGAACGAGTTATGAATAATAATCGAAGGTTTTATGAATCTATCAAAAATTTATAATGCAACCAAACCCGGCAGTTCACAATGGTTTTCCACGCACTTCAGTTAGGGAACAATTAGGGGGAATCGACAGACCCAATTGTCACCTCAGAAACTACTTAAGAAGCTGTTAAGTCGAAACACCCATTTAATAAGACATCAAAATCAACTTAAAGACGCCCTTCCCTCTTGATTTTCCCCGGGTTAAATCACACATTCGAAAGGGCTGTGACAAAAGTTTTGACAGCCATTGTGTGAGGGGCGACCCTCCCTAGAAAAGTAACCCCTGAATCGGGATTTATATGTAGCATACCCTATATACGGAGGGAATAGCGCGTGGCTGTCGCAGGCAAGGGTTGATATTATTATTCCCTTCCCTCCGGTTTAATGTCTTTTTGTCGAACTGAAAACATGCGAGTGATTTAGTGAAACCGAGATGCCCAAACCCGCTGCCCCAAGCAGATGTTCCAGACCAGAAATATTTTAGTATGTGTATATACAGAAGGGCATATCTCTTTGAAGTGGACAAATCTCGTAAATCGTTTTTCGGACAACAGCTGATGCTGGAAAATGGGGAAAAGACAACATACACTTACCATTCGATTGCAGTGGCGACGGCGAACGCGACAGACGACTGATATCTGAAAATAGAGAGGATAAACACAAATTTTAGACTGGCTAAATTGAGACCACTTAAAGCTAAGAGTAAAATAACACACACACGTCGCGGGCATAAAACGGAAAAGGAGCAAATACAAATTTACCGGGAAGCAAGCGCCCAAGTTTACGATACACCAAATCGATATCGATATACATTCTAAGCCAGAACTGACCAAATGGCCAAATGGCCAGTCCAGACATCGACACCGTCGCCTATAAAAGGATATTTTTATGGACCTCCTCGAGGGGATGTCCGCCGAACAGAAAAGGAGTTCAAGGAACACCTGGTCCGAATACGATTTGAATTCTGGAGTCGGGAGCAGACGGCATTGCAGTGTGTGTTGGCTACAACTTTGTGTCTGGAGAAATTGAATTTTGTTCGGTCTTGCTGGCTAATTTACGAGTGCAACATGGTGACCCCTCTAAAATGCATTACAAATTGAGTGCTCTTCTTTTCGGGTGTTGTATGACAACTATGTACTTAGTTTCACGCTTTTATTTAGCTGATTGAATTACTAAGGTATTAAATTACTGGTTTAATGATGATTTATTTTTATGAATAAAAAATCAACTTTTATTTCTGCTACTTATTATTTACTTTATTTACTTTACTTTATTATAAGTACCTATATTTGTTTATTCACTTATAGTTACTAATTATCTTAAAAATCTTAGAAAGATATAAAAATCTAAAAGATGTATCTGTAAAATTAATTAATTTAACGCCTTTGACCATCTGACATTTCCAAACGTTTTCTCTTAACCGCTGATATGACCCTATAAATACAAGGACTCCCTTTCGATTTCGCTACCTAAGATCTAGTTCTCAATGAATCAGTTTATAGGGAGTGGGTTTCTTTCCTTTTGCTGCCACAGTCTTCCCTCGCTTCTGGCACACTTCTGTCGCCTCCTTTTGGCCACGCCTTTGACCCGCTAATTAAGCGGCACAACTGCTGCCACTTCAAGTGGTGCGGCATATGTGCTTATCCAGAATATATAGTCGCATATCGGACCGTAGAGTGCGAGTTAGGTAAATGAACATTTTACAAAAACCCGGCGTTAAACTGCCACATAAATTATGTAACTTGGAGGTGGAGGAGGTTGAGAGTCAGGGAAATTCAACACCCTCGCGCGTGTCCAGCACGAGTGAAATGAAAATGAGCAGCGGTTCAGAAACGATTTTCAGAATTTTACAGTTTTTGGCAGAGAAATTGCGAAAACCACAGGCGCACCCCCTAGTAAAATTTTTGAGAATCGCCCAGCGGGGGTGGCGGTTTGGTTTACGATTGAGGGTCGAGGGGGAAATTCGGATACATTGGACTGTGTGGCGCGCACAATTAGTCAATGACCTCGACAGTTGGCCAGCTGGGGGTGGCTAATACAAACACAAATGCAAACGGGCGGGCAGACCTCGTATGCCATAAGCTATACTCGTATGCTATATGCTATATGGTCATCACGTGCGCAGACCGAGACTGACTATATCGATTGATGTCGTCGTCGTCGGCGGCGGCGGAAGCTGCGTGTCTTGAACTCTTGACCCCACCATTTCTCCTCCATGAGCTTGCAGTGTGGAGCGTGGAGCGTGGAGCTGGGAGCCCCGAAAAGTAGCCGAAAATAAAACATAAATAAATAAAATAAAATACAATGGAGCGAAAGGAAAGCAAACATTATGTGCGTGCTCTTTGGCCTTTGTCTTCGTCTGGATATTCGTAGCAAAACAAAACCAGCAAAATTGCAAAAAGAGAGAAAGCTTCAGATGCGGCGAAATGAAAGCTTGATTAGAGGATTCAACGAGAGAGAACAATTAAGGAGAGTGTCCTTTTAGGCTCAAAAGCAGAGAGTAATTTAATGATAAGCCAACCAGTCTTCAGCATTTTTATAAATATTTTTCTTTGGTTCCTGAATTAATAGTACAACAATTTAGCTTCCTATTTATTTGCAAATCGATTATAATGCAAACAATTGTGTTTAAATAAATGCTAATTAAATATGCAACTACCATTTATAAGTCTTTCTAAAACCAATAAACTCTTTTTGAAAACCCTAAATAAGCCCTGTTGACTTTTTGTTTATCACGTAGCCTGCATTACAAAACAATCTTGACTGCATTTTCCATCGATTTCCGTTTGCTAATTGTAAATCTTAATCGATTCTTCAATTATTTCATTGGGGTTCCAAGAATTACCTATAAAATTGAGCCAGCGGACACACGCCCTCTTTCTTGATCGTCTTTTATGGCAGCGATATGTGATAAGAAGGTATTCTAGAACAGCAACAAAACCAAAGGGAAAAGCAGGAAAGACTGCATGAGCTCATGGACAATGACTAAAAATAATGTTATTATTCAAGTTGGACATTGTCGTCAATTGACGTGGCTGTAATCGGCCAAATATATTAATTTAAAACTGATTGGCGCACCAGCACTGTTTTATGTGGGCCTCGATTAATTTATTAAAATCACCGAAATATGACGAGACTTGTTTACTCCAAGAGGTGAACTTCTTGGAATCTTTGAGTGCCGTGCAGGTGTGCAAAACGTTACGTCGACTTTTTTTTTTGGTTCGGGCGATAAGTAGTCGCGATAAGCAAATCGTATTGTACAAGGTAAACTCTTATATGAATACCATGAGACATATATTAGCTATCGTTAGTTTTTTAGATTAGACGAATCATTTGCGTCACGTGCTCCAAACGAGGAATATAAGTACTGCTGCACGAAGTAGTGGAAATTTGTTTAAACTGAAAAAATCCCCATTTTTATCATCTTATGTCTGGCTAATTAGAATGTGCCATTGTCGCCTGATTATCTGGTGACTGGAATATGGATTCCAATTACCAAGTTACTCATCAGATTTTACATAATCAATCATAACCCATTCGAAAGTACCAATTTAAAGTCAGTACCACTCGGTGCACCTCAAGTGTGGCTCACCGGAATTATTACGCATATCCCGAACGATTTTTTACAATATTTGTCATCGAAATGCGCTTTTTTATTGCCCCGCATTTGCTGCGCTTCAAAAAACGATAATTGATAAGGTAACAAATTAAAAGTACTGTTTACAGCGGCCAAACGGTTCCGTTGAGTGCCCATCGCCACCATCGCCGGTTCCCCCCACCGTTCCTATTTACATGGCCACATTTGTGGGCCGGTTGCGCAAGAAATGCGTCTTTAATAAATATTTTTATGGTCCGGCATTTGTAATACCCATTTGCTAGTTTGTAGTTCTCGCCGTTCGGTGCCAGGGATCTTGAGACCCGACTTTAAGTGGGTCGCTGGGAGTTAATATTTATGGCGGGGACACCTGTGCCGGTGTTTGTTTTCAATAAGCAGATTGCATTTTTTTTCTTTGTTCCAGGTGTTGGGCATTGAGACTTGGGTTTTTAGTATGTGCAGAGCACCTGACTCACTCATGGTAATTTTCACGAGGTCTGGCTTAGTAATGCAGCGGTGAAAGGCACCAGCGCTTGGGGAAATCGGAATTGGGTGGTTACTTGTGGGGGTTTCATCCAAATACTTTTATGAGTTTCCATTGGAAAGGCTATTATTCTTGGGATAATTGGAAGCACTGATTTATCACCTGAGAGTGCATTTATGAAAGTTTTCTTAATATTAATATTGGTAATAATTGGTTTGCTATATTGGTTTTCTTTAAAAATTTTTCAAATTGCATCATTTAAAAACAAATCATTTTAACGGATTTGCGCCAGATAGTGTTTTAAAAGCTTGTATTCGATAATTATTTTTGAAACCAAAAAAGAAAGAAGGACGGCTATAACTACTAGGAACTTTTTGGATATATTATAGCTTACGCATGTACAATTTTTCATTTTAAAAAAATCGAATAAGCTTTTTAGAAAAAATCTGTTATTGTACTGCATAAATACAAACAGAAAATGTGCTAGCTTATAAGCTCTCAGCTTAAAAAATGGATAGCTCGTTATACGAATAATAATTACAGAGAAATAAATTTACTTTATAAATAAATAAAGTAGGAATACTTTGATTTTAATTGTATGTGTTGTTTTGAAGTTGCATTAATAAAAGCTTTACAAGCGCTTTTGTCTAATAAAACTTATTTTTAACATTTTAGTCTAAATATGATATTGATGTATTTTTGATACATAAAGCTTGAGGACATGTTTGATTTGAATGTATTGTAGTGATTTAGAGGACATTGACTTACATCGATTCTGCATTATGTGAACGGCGGCCTCGCGGGCGCTGGTCGGCGTGGATTTGAGCAAGTCGCGCTTCAAGGAGTTGTTATTATCCTCGGGACTAGCGGTGTGCCAACGTAGCTCCGACATAACCATTTTCACAACTCAATAGTGCAATGCAAATGTTTCTATATGCGATATGTTCAATGTTCTGACCACTGTAAATTCACTATAGCACTTCGTACTGATTGTTTCTTATTTGGTGTTTGTTATTTTTTTGTTACAGAATATTTTCTTCAATATTTTTCTTAATTTTTTTGGAAGCGCCGCTTTCGTGTGGACGCGTTCGTGTCTCGTGTGAAACTGACAACAGAGAAGCGGTCGAAGCGGTCAGGATAGCTCTCTGCGAACTAACGGATAATCGTTCTAGGCCTGAATGTTTTGGGTCCGGATGATGATGATATTATGATGATGGTGTGTCTGCTCTCTCTTTCTCGCTCTCTGAGCACTCTCTCCCTCTCTCTCTTTCTCTCGCTCTCGCCCTCCTTCCCACTCTCCCTTAGCCGGCGTTTGGGATTTTGAGTTGAAAACTGCTGTGTTTGTTGCACCCCTAAAAAAGCGTTAAGGGTTGATTTGTCCTTTTTTACAACACAAAACACACACAGACACCGTTGAACGCGGGGGTAAAAAACCGACTGGGGAAATGGTGGCGTATACGTGATAAAAAACGCGACCGAGCGCTCCACACGTTTAACTGGTTCCACTTTTTCGCGTCGACTGCAGTTGAGTTGGAATTTGAGGCACAAGGCAGAATCGCTGGCAGAAGAGTGAGAGCGAGAGAGCGACTTGGAGCTTTGGGGCACGCTCTCTCTCTCTAGCGTTAGAAATGCGTTCCACACCCCCGCACACACACACACCGTCACGCAGCGAGTCCAATTGGAGTGGAGAGGAGAAGTTCTGCGCTCTCTCGCTCTCGTTTTGAGTGATTTGCGAATGTGTGCGAGGGCGAGTGAATTGTAAACTAACACACACATTTTATGCGCTTTAAAATGTTGTGTGTGAGTGGGGGCTACCTCGTCTGTGGTTCGTGGGCTCCATTGTTGAACGTGTGTGTTGGTGTGTGTGTGAGATGCGTGCGCTTGTTTGGGGTGTGGCTTAAAATTTAAATTCGGCTTTCAAATGGCAATGGATTTTTTATACGGCCGCGCTCTTTGGGGCTGTGTGTGTATGCATATTATTTTATGATTGGCGAGTCAAAAATGCTGCCCGTGTGTTTGTGCGCTGGCTATGTAAAAATATTTTAAAGCTGCGTCGACGTCGACTGCAGCAGAATGCCCCCTCCACCTCCCCACTCCCTTTGCCTAAGACCTCACTTTATATTTGCAGCATTGTCGTCTTCTGATTTCGCTCTTTGTTCTGGCTCCCGTTTCCTCTCCGCTTTCGCAATTTTATTTGCCATTCATGTATGCACACATGTGCGGAGGTCCCCTATCCAGCCAAAAATCTCCCTTTCCCCCTCCTCCCTCCCCCCTGAAAGTTGGCATCTCCCGTTTTGAGCTTGCCACCCACTTGGCAGCATTTTCTTTCATTTTGGGTTTCTTTGCTTTTGTTTCTCGGTCTTGGCAAATTTTCTTTTTTTCCCGATTTTTTATTATTTTTACGGTTTGTTTTGGTATTGTGTTTGTTTGTACTCCGCGAAGAGACATTTATGGTGACAAAAATTGAACTTTTTGATGCTATCGGAAAATGTGAATTCTAATAGATGCCTTTATATTTTAAAATGTATAAGATAAATTTAAAACCGATTTAAAATAACAGACTATTTGAACTTAAATCAAATCTTAAACAGTGCTCAATTTCTCTGAATCTCTATTTTTATGCATATTCAAAACAAATGTTTTTTATATTCCTAAGAACTGCCGAGACAAACGAATTATAATGAAAAAGTCACATTTTCAAGGCGATCGCAACAAAATCTTTCCCATATAAAAAACTAGCCCAACTACCTGACCAATGCACAATGTGCGCACATATTTTTTATACGTAGATCTCTTTGTTATGGAAAAAAATCATAAAAAATTGTTACAAAGTCATAAAAAGTCAAAAATTAAAAACAGGTAAGAAGGAAATGTGTGCTGGCGAGGAAAATCAAGGCAGAGGAAAAGGTGACTGGGTCCTGACAAGCGTTTAACGCTTCCATCAATGATAGCCACCTAGGGTTCTCTTCGGATCCGTATAGTTTTCCTTTAGTCTGAAGGATTTCGCGCTGCTAGCCATCTTTTTACGACGCAAACTGGCTCGACTTCCACCTAAATCATAAAAAACATTCGATACGTTCGGTATCTCGGGATAAGAAGTCATTCGGCTCAGTCGGTGAGTCAGAAAGTCGATTCGATGGCCAACATCCTGGGTCTACATGTTAATTAGCCCAAAAGGCACTGGACCACTTTGACTACTGGTCATTCGCTCTCTCACGTTCGCAAAGAGCTGTTAAAAAAAGGATTTCTGGGATGCCCCGAAGGGTATTGAGGTTATTTTGGGCGAGAAAAAACCTTTTAAAAATCGCCTTATTTTTTTGTGGAAGATTTTACAATTCATAGCAATGCCGTCAATCAAAATGTTTATTTTTGTTTGTAAAATAAAGTCACTTTTAAATTTTTGTGTTCAAAATGTTGTTTTATAAAATGTATAAATCAATTAAAATGCCTCAGATTAAATACTTTTCTGTTTCACAGCTGAAAAGTTAAAAAAAATGTATATTCAGATCGAACTCAAATTTTTCAATTTAAAGATTTTAAAAGGCAGGGTATCAAATAGTCTGTACAGGTTGTTCTACATAGCCAATGTTGACTTGCTGACCGTTTGACTTTTTTATTTGCGTGAACTCGAACTGCGTCTTTTTGGCCTACTGTGCGTGTCCATAAAAAATATCAAAACTATTTGTCGGCTCGCTCGCTATCTACCTCTCTTTCTCCCGCCATGCGCTGACCCTTTCGCACTCACCTCACACTGCGAGGCGTCCTTGCGGAGCATCGTAAAAGAAAATTCGTTGCCGAGAATTACTTAAGTCAATGTAGGCAAAGATCATAAAAAAGGCAAAAAAGTCCAGAAGAGTTGAGCCTGGCAAACAACATTTTTATTGGGGCAGCCGGAAAATATTAAAAAGAAAAAGGAAAGGGAATTTTCCCGTGCCCATTTGGAGGGTACTTGGTAAATTGTTTGAGAAAATAATGAAAAGTGAAATGTCTAATGAAGTCGTAAAGTGTTTTCGACCAGCAAACATGTTGGCATGTGTTTGTATTTTAGTGGCATCTCCCTTTTTGGGGCTTGTTCTTGTGGGTTTTCTGATTTTTAGATTTTAGTGAATTGATTAATGGGAAAAGGAAACTGAATTTGGGGTAAAAATTAAGGTTATACTTTTCTCGGACTTAGAGATTTTATAGGTTCTAGGTTAAATGTATTTTAAAAGAAGACTGCATGCTAACCATATTAAATTTATCAGATCCTTTTACTTCACCATCAAATTTGCTCTTATGGACTGAGTCATATTTGTGATGAAAATTGAATTTTTTCAACTATTTCTGCACACATTTTTGAAAGTCATCCGCCCTTCAAAATTTTGTTATTGCACCCTTTCAGGAAATAAAGTGTATAGCAGAAATCTCACCCCAAATTCAGTGAGTGTGTGTGCGTTAATTAAATTTGTCCCTCATTCTAATCAGCAGCTTAGCATCTCCTAAAATCCGCTCACAATTTCGCTTGAAATTATAGGAAATTTGAACTCAAGTTACTTGGGGATGGACCAAAGAGGGTAGCTCTACCGAAAATTATGAGGGAAAAGGAAAAGCTGCAGCAGTCAGTCCTTGGCCCAGAATTATTCATGATCCTTGGCATCGCATTCCCCTTAGGTTTTTTACATATCTCCGATGGCAACTTCAATTCAGACTTTGCCTTTGTTTTGGGTAACATGATGAAGCACCGAATCATCGATGTCGAGGATGACATTCTTTGATTCTTATTTATGTCCTTACAGGAACAATATCGGTCTGTTTTTTTGGGTAGAAAAGAAGAGAAATCAATTGCGTTGTCTGCCTACCTCGATAAGGAAATATTCCTTAAAAAACATACGATAGAGCGAGGCTAAACAATGGAATAGCAAGGAACACGCTACGGTACTTTGCTGGCATTTGACACCCCAAAAATAAGGACACAATCCGCAGGACTCTCAGGTAGTGAGTGCCGAGTCCTTAGATATGCATATGCGAGGCGTTTACCCACCCCAACTGCAGTTTTTTTCCGCTTTTTTATGCAATTTTCAGCATGAAAATTTGAGTTTTCTTCTGTTTGCTTAGGGGTAGTTGGGAAACTTTCTCTGCGTTTCATTTTTTCGGCAGTTTTATAGCGATTTTCTTTAATTGCGTTTTTTCTTTTTCTTACTTTTTCGAGTATACCTAGATCTCCGATTGTGGTTGTTAACGGTTTTGATTTATTTTGCGCCTTTTCTCTCCTCTTATATTTTTAGGGACATATTATTCGGAAGTTTCCCACGAGTTTTAGGGTAAAAAACGGAAATCTTTTTGCATGCCTTAGGTTGGGACTTGGACAAGGGATAGTTGCCTAATGAAGTATTTGTTTAGGGTAATTGGAAATTAGGAAACGAAGACTGATATAAATTTTAAGATAAGTATTTAAATGAGGGGTCTAAGATGCATCGTTTGTAAAATGAGTTATTGACTTTGAAAAATAGTCTCAGATATTTTTGTTATAAGTTATGAGTATTCCAATAAAACACACACATAAAACAAACTCTTATATATATCTAGTTGTATGATAGTTTGGGTAGTATTATTCAAGTTAATTTAATTTTTGAACTTTTATATCTTGAGGGTTCTCAAATTGGTAATAATTAAAATATAAAAATTATAAAAAATCAATCCTTAAAGTGCAGGGTAACTTATTTTGTTATTACCATGTTTTTAAGTTATGAGAACTTAAAAGTTAATTTTTAAATATAATTTATCAATTAGAAATACTTTCAACTATACTTTTATAATGAGTTCTCTCTATTATAGCGTTTACAAATAATGTAAGAATATTTCATGATTTGCTAGATTTTAAACCTAAAACTACAGTATATTCCTATGAATATTACTATGAAATGTGTCCTTTTTGTGTTTCTAAATATATGCGCTATCCTTCTCTTTCCATGAAAATCTTCTAAACTTTAATTTTATCATTTTACTTCTCTACTCACCACTTGGTTGCTGCAATTTCAGGCGCTGCTCTAAATCTCGCACATCCTTGCTGGCATTGTTCAAGTGGCCATAGAGAGCAACTGCTGCACCGGTCAGTCCCAGGACCTTATCCTTTTCCTCCCCCTCAGCCCCCTGCTCCTGTTCCTGTCCCTGCTCCTGCTGCTGCTCCTGCTCCTCCATTTTCAACTGCAGAGGCGACGAAGCATTGTTGTTGGCAATCTGAGCTGGATGCAGCCGTTCGGCTCCTTTATCCTTTGGCTGCTCAACATATTCATCACACGATTGCAACTTCAATTCGAGCGTTAGCTTCTTGTCCCGCATCCTCGCTCCCTCGTCCTTTTCCGAGCGGGGGGAGGTGAAGGGCGACGGGCAGGACACCAGAGTCGAGGAGGCGGGGGGAGGAGGAGGAGGAGAGGAAGGAGCTGCCGTGATTTGCGCTGACATCGCGCATATTTGTGTCAACAGCAGTCAAAGTTCCGTCTTTGTTCTCCTCGGGGCTCGTTAGGATGGCTTCATTCGCATCTTGTTGGCCTGGCTCGAATTTAAAGTTGCCGACTGCAAATGAGGACAGTTGAGATAAATAAACTTTGTAGTACCAAGAATGTTTTTCAGTAGGAAACCCTTAACATAAAGCACGACATTGGTCGAAAGATTTTAAAGTTGTAAATTTAATTCTGCCTTTTTGGGCTTACAACAAAAATAATTAAAAAATAACAACAAATAAAATTAACAATTTCTTTAAAATAGCTTTTAAAAATATAAAAGTATATCATTCAAAAATGGCGTTTACTATGGATTTATTATTTAAATAAGTTTAATATTTCCTTTAACATGCAAGAATCGTTGTAAAAAAATTAATTCAATTAGTTCTTAACTATAAGAAGTCATTGGTGGCTTAAATAAAAATCATCAACACCATTGCATTTAAATATTCACCATTTTGTAGGCCTATATATTTAAATAACGGTTGAATAACCAATCACAGCTCCAAATCTCTATCTCTTAAAGGGTTGACTCCGGCATTTACATAAGCCTTTCGTTATGGAATCACAGCAACCCTTTTTTACGACTCACACCCCGAGTGCCATTTGAATAAGCTTCCCCCTGGTGGGCCATAAAAAAGGGGTTGATTTACATAAAAAACGGGGAGGCAGAGTCGTGCCTTCATTTTAATATTCTGCCCCAGGGGTTGACGGTCCAATACGCACACTCCTGGAAATATGCTGATAACGTCATATTTTCCCTGCCCTTGGAGTGGTGAAAATTCGGGGGGTTTTAGCTGAACGGGGGGGTCTCTTAAAAAAGCAACCAACCGGGCACATTTCATTGGCTGAAGAGCCTTCGCTCGGCATGTGGCCCAAATGTAAAAAAAAACTGAACGGGGAAATATGAAAAATATTTTCATGGCAAGGCGTTGAAATGTCTCCGGGTAACTGATGCTTGAAATAACGGCAGGACATCGCCATCATGTGTTCATTGAGTCCTGTTCCTGTTCCTGTTGCTGGGTAATTTCTCTGTTCAGGAATGCCACTAAAAAATGAGTCACATGGATGGGTTTGAAGTGTGAAAGTTCTTCGAGGGGGCAGGAAATTAAAAGGGAAAGCCTAAGTGTGCAGGAATGTGTGATGTTTTAAATAAGGGAAGAAAGCCTATAGAAGTAAGATTTGGTAAAATTTATAAAAATTTAGGAGCTTATTTTGATTATATTATATACCTTTATAATGTGAGGACTTAGCTTAACAATCTAAATTTTCAGAATATTTTATATATTGCTTTGGTTTCAATATATAATATGTATGTATATAATCAATAGATTCCTATCTGAACATTAAGGTTTAAACCTTTTAATCTACAATGGTGCAATCTCCCAAACTAGACAAACCGCAAAGATTAGGTAGCTATTTTCATCACCATTGTCATTATGCCTTATTTTTGCCTTTCCAAGAATTAACCGACATCTAGTTTTTTATCGCAAGGTATTTAGGATCTGCGATATTTCAGGATTTCAATTTCTCGCCTCAGCAAACAAATCTCCGCCTGTTGCGCAACCTGAATATCTTAGGGAAAGGTAAACTTCTGAGGACGAGCCGCCAAGGATATAATAAGGATAACTGCAACTACAAACGAATTGCAGTATTAAACGGAAGACAACAAAGACGCTGAAATTATTAGATTTTTTACCGTTTGACAGCGCATTTCAATTGCACAATTACGAGGAAGTGGCAGCACCGAGAAAAGGATCCTCCTACGGTCATAAATTTGTGTCAGCCAGGGTTTTCTTAATTGAGGAGCTATCAGAAGGAAGGACCTGCCCGAGATTGATGTCCATCCATCTCGCTCTCTATTTATTTGTTTCTCCCCCGAAAACCAGGTGTTAGCGAAATCAAAGGAGGTGTTTCTGGGGTCCAGAAGGATTCCGATTCCGATTCGGATTCGGATCCTGATTCTGATTTTGTACCGCAATACAGGAGCAGTCGCCTTCATCGTGGGAACTGCACATTGCGCAAAGGACAAAGGATCGACCTCACCTCACCTAACCAAGTGCAATTTGGCTTTTGTCCCATGGCAACTGCACCGCACCCGCTGCGTATTTCGGATCACAAAGTGTAACTGTAACACTGGCCAAGAAAATGAAGAAGAGTCCCGGTCCTAGACACAATAGCGAATCTGGAAAATCTGTAGAATCGGGGAATGATGATCACCAGCCCATTGTGATCCCTTGGCTACGCACCAAAAATAAGCGAAACAAAACGGCGGCACAATAGCAAAAGTGATTATTGTTGCGACTTTTGCTCTTTTGTGCATGCGAAACATGAATTTATTGCTTTTCTTTTGCGACTTTTTATATTCTATCTTGAGGTACTATGATGTTGGTGGCAGGTTTCAAACAAACAGCAAACAGCGTAGTAAAAATATGGTTGCATTTTCATTTTAAATACATCATTTAAATATTTTCAATAGCAACATTTTACGATATCGATGTTATAGGAGCAAAGTTTTTAGTTACCAAATGTTTTCTTTATGTATTTTTTAAAGATTTTAGTTACCAAATATTTTGTTTACATATTTTTAAATATTTTGTTTACTTTGTCACCCAAAAAATTTCATTAATAGAGTAGATCTAATGTCATTCTTGGGATTACAATTAATATGTAAACTTTGCCTTAAGTATAAATTAATCCTGATCTAAGTAGGCAAGCTTTTAAACTCGTTTACAAATATAAAATTCGACTATCAAGAAAGGTTATTTTGTGTGAGTTGTTAAAACCTACAATCAGCTCTTGCCCTCAAATCATTAAAAAATAGTAATATTCAACTAAAAGAAAAATCAACCGCAAAATGAACAAAATGGAAATGAGCCTTGATAATATCATTAAAACAAGTCTTTTTGGTAACAACAACAACCGTCGCAAAACTAGAGGTTACCGTCATCCTGGCGGTGAAAGAAAAACTAGAGAAACGTTCAGAAAACAAAGTTCAGCAAGTGGACCAAAAGGAATTTTAAAACGCCGCATAGAATCAGGAGTCATTCAGAAGAAAAAATTCACGCCAGAAAATGCAATCAGTGAAAAGAAAAGGATCTCTCGTCTCATTATTGGCAATTTGGACTATGGCGTAACCGATACGGATATCTGGGAACTATTTAAAGGCATCGGACGTATAAAGAGAGCGGTTGTGCACTATGATCAATTTGGCAACTCATTGGGAACTGCAGAATTGGCATTTAAATATAGATCAGACGCATTGAAGGCAATGAAGCAGTTGAATCAAGTTCATTTGGACGGACGTTTGATGAATATACAGTTGGTTTTGGACGCTAAGGATGTTATGAATTTTCCCCTTAATACCAGTTCTTTCAAGACTAATTCGTTAAAGCCACGCACTTTTAAGGAGCATATTATTAGGAATCGATCTTTGAACTTTAATAATTTCAAGTCTGTTACATTCAAACCTCGTGATTCTTATTTTCGTTCTTAAGAGATGGTTAACGTTGACCTGATGATACTGGATTCAAACCATTTCAAAACCCTCATGAAATCATAAAACCCAAAGAATATAGATTAATTTAATTTAATTAATTTAAACCAAAATAAAACTTGGCATAATAAAAAAAATTAATTCCAAATTTGTGGTTCAATAACGAAATTAATTTAGAAAGTCTCAAATTGATCCCTGGACAAAATTAATATTTTATTTAATTAATTCTCAAAGTCTAGTTTTAGTTTATAAAAACAAAAACGATTTTGTATTGTTTTGTAATGCAAAATATTTGGAATTTGTATATTATATTTCCATGTTGCCTGTTTTGTCGTATGATGTGCGTTATTCTTTTCATTTCTTGATCCCCGCCCAATGCATGTACATATTTAAGCCATGCATAAAATACACTGGCAGCAAATCTTCGGAGCAAAGCTTGGCTCTAATTTAAATAACGGCGCGCTCTGTTTAATGCGCACTTCGCACGCAACCTGGCGTCTTATTTTTTGCATACACTGAGCACAATTAGCGCTCTTAATTCGCAGTGCGTTCGTCGAGCGGAGTTCGTCCGCCCCTCGTCCTCGTTTTTGACGCCCCCGCTTTTTACACGCCTTTCTACACTTCGCTGCTTGTTTGCATAAATTTCGTGCCAGGCACCTGAGCCCCCCTCACTTCCCCCCTCTCTCCCCGTCTCTTTCCCTTCCACACTTTGCATGTGCAACCGCTCGAGACGCCACCGCTTTGCCCCTCTTGCCGCAAAACCTCTCCGACTTCTGCGTTTTTGCGTTTTGTAATTGCAGTTATTTGGCCCAAGTCGCGCATTATAAAAGCAAACATCAGCGGGCCGCAAAGCAAACGGTCTTAAATTGCGTAAATTCGTTTTAAACACATATATTTAATTTAATTTTTATTTCTATTGCATTTAAATTTGCCGAAGCAGCGCTGCAAATGAAGTGAAAATGTGTTGCAAGTCCATAATTATAGAGGATTTTCAATTGCTGCCTGTGGAAATTATAGACTAAGGTTGATATGTTTAAAATTGTTAAATAAATTATTCATTAGTGTTTAAATGAAAAATAATTGGTTTTTATGCATGATTATTATAGTTTGTGTTAAAGAAAACTAAAAAGGAAATTAAAATATTTAAATACCATTGAAATACGCAACCCATTTCATTAGTAGAAATTTTTTATATCTGCTACTTTCCCAAAAATATAACAACCATTATTTCCTAACAAAGAACCAAAATGTTCACCCTTTCCCACGCTGCTAAAAAAACCCGCAATATTTTCGCATTTTTTTTATGTGTTTTTCTCCCATTTAACCATATTTTCACAATTTAAAACCAACATTTCCCAAGAAAACACTCAATTTAATGCTGGTGGCAATAAAATCCTTTCTATTTTGGCATTGAAAAAATACGTTACAAAATTGTGCGAAAATGGGAGAAACACTTTCAAGAGGTTAAATGTCACTTAAGCGGATTCGAGTTGAATTTTTTTTCGCACCCTAAGATTTTTTTTCGGGTAATTACTTCCCGTTTTTTTGCAGATTTTTTAGCAAATTTTGAGCGCGCA